CTACAGCTTTTCTCCCATCTACCTCTTATTCGTCCAGGCTCCTCTTTGCTAATCACATCCCTCCCATTGATTTTTTTTTTCCAACTTTGCCCTCCGCCCCACCTATTACTGTGAAGTACTCCATCCACTTATCCATCCTCTCTTCTCAACTCCTAGGTCCGCCTTCTTCCCGGGAAGGCACTCTTTCTTCAGTGGGTCTCAGTTCTGTCCTGGGTACTGAAGAGGAAGATGAAGATGAGGAGTATGAATACATGAATCGACGGCGAAGGCCCAGCTCGTCCCGTCCTCCTCGGCCCAGTTCCCTTGAGGAGCTGGGCTATGAGTACATGGACGTGGGCTCAGACCTTAGTGCCTCTCTGGGCAGCACACAGAGCTGTCCGCTCAACCCTGTGCCCATTGTGCCCACTGCTGGCACGACTCCGGACGAAGACTACGAGTATATGAATCGACGACGTGGAGGTGGGCCAGGGGGGGATTATGCAGCTATGGAGGCCTGCCCAGCAGCTGAGCAAGGGTACGAAGAGATGAGAGCTTTCCAGGGACCTGGTCAGCAGGCCCCCCACGTCCGTTATGCCCGCCTGAAAACGCTCCGAAGTCTAGAGGCCACCGACTCCGCCTTTGATAACCCTGATTACTGGCATAGCAGGCTCTTCCCCAAGGCCAATGCCCAGAGAACCTAGCCTCCCTCGAGGCTCTCAGGAAGCATGTGATGGCAGCTAGTGCCTCCAGAGGGTACCCTTCTTCTCCTTACCCCTCTCCCCACTCCCCAAAAGGTGTCAGCCCCATTTCTGTAGTCCTAGACAATTCCAGCCAACCTTTGGAGGCTCTGAAACCCTTTGACACAAAATTCATGTGGTATGTAGCCAGCCATGCACTTTCTTCCCATTCCCGATCCCAGGAGAAGAGGTTTCCCTCCTTGGTGTGCGTTTCCCAATCCCTTTCCTCAGGACTCTGCAGATATGAAGGAGCATTCCCCACAGCCCTTCCGCTCAGGCCCTGGCCTGCTGGGATGAGACCCGTTTGTGTGCCTTTGTCCCAGAGTGGCCCACAGGAGAGGGGACAGATGTGGCAGAAGGAAATAAGACCTGTATGTTCCTAATCCTCCAGAAAAGCCAGGAAACCCACTGTTCTGTAAAGAGTGGAGTACCTGCTGATTCCTGGGGACTGTTGACTATGAGCCAGACATCTGACTGAACTTTACCTCCATGATTTCCCTTCATCTTTTCTGCTCCTTTACAGTTGTGAGGCACAAGGATCCCGTATTACACATATAAGTAGCCCCATCCCTGCCCTGCCCATCCTCAGAAAATAATGTTCCAGGATGCCCAGGACAGCATGAAACCGCAGATAGTACCAATCACCAGCATGTCCTCACCATGCACCATGACCATAACTTTTGCAGTCTGTAGTGTTCAACAACTAAACTAGCCCAAATTCTCTTTTTTTACAATTTCATGTTATAAAAAGCATCGCTCACACAGGAGATCTGGCAACTTCAGCCTACAGTTTGAAAACTTTCACCTTTTCACTTAAAGGAAGCACTTCTCTCGGACGAATGTGAATTGCCAGCATTGCAGCTCTTGCACTTTGGGGCCATTAAATAAGTGAGGGTTGTTGGAACACAGCCACTGCTCAATACCATGACAAGAGATCTGAGCAGGTTCCCAAGCGACAACAGACTAGGGACCCTGAAAGGCACTGATCCACAGGACAAAGGGAGAACCTACACATTGTTTATTTCTGGAACTCTCCATGTAATGTTTTTTAGCTGCAATTGACCATGGGTGTAACTCACTCAGACCGTGGAGATAGATCAGGGGCAGGAACTGAGCCATAAAGATTGGGTTAATTACGCAGCAGGTCCAGGTTTCAAAATCTTCCCAGTTCAATGCATGTGCTCTTACTGTCAAGTGTCAAAGCAAAAGAAACCACAGAGCCCTCGTAAGGGGGCATTTTACTTGTTTTTGCACTGAATCAAGTTTAACTCCAAGTCACCTCCTCTGTACACAGACATCTCATCTCCAGATGAGGGGGGGGGGCGGTCAGAAGGAAAAATAACTGGACATTTTTTGTAGAAACCCTAACTCTGATATGCTGTAAACGACCACTCCTTACCCTCCCATACCTGTAAGAGCTGTGCTCACCGAGTAGTGAGAGGCTTGGGGGAGGGGGGCTAGAAAGAAAACCAGGATAAAATGTCTTATAGCCCTGTAGTTTTTTGATGTTTTTATACGTGTCAATAAAAATACGAATGTTTTTTCAGCTTCCTGTTTGTCCAATGAGGAAAATGGAAATAAGAGACCACTTTGTTTCCCAACAGCCTTTTTCTGCCCATCCAGCTTTCTCCAGTTGTACATGAACTTGCTTAAAACAAGCATACGGGACCAGGGTAGATGTGGGACGGACTAGGCTGGGTTTCAACCCCAACTGAGCCATGTATGTGTTATATGTGGGTATGGATGAGCTGTGGCTGGGCTGAAACATCCAGCAGCAAGAACCAGAATGGGTTTAAGTGCAGTTAGAAAAAAAAAGCCGTTGTTCCTGCTAGGACAGGAGATGAACTGAGTGGTGCTGGCCCACGGACCCACTGGTATGCATGAAACCTGGCACCTGGAGGGGTTCTGAGGGAGGAGTCTGAGCAACTCCTCTGACAGGACACAGATCCTTCAAATAAATGCAAGAAGCATGGACGGAAACAGCCTGGAAAAAGTGCACCACTGGCATACATTTGGCATGGGTTGGGTGTGGACCAGGCAGAGTCAGTTCACTTCGTCCATTGGTAAATCCGAACACCAGAGCAGAGTGTGGGTTGAGACAGGTTTGGTCGCGACAAAAGCAGGTACAACACAGAATACCGAGGTGAGGCTGTCTGTGTCAGATGAGACTGCAGCACCCAACTAACACACGAGAATCAGGAAGGTGGAGCAGAGCCGACAGGGGAATGAGGGGTGGTTCCCGTGCTGGATAGCTACTCCCACTGGAGAGCATGAGCTGGGACCAGACTAGGTAGGGATGCAGCACCTGTGCGCCTCATATGGACCAGATCAGGGAAGAGCCAGGATGGGTGGACTATTCCTACTAGTGTCAACAAAACGGGAGGGAGTGAGAGCTGTCGGGGCTTAGCTATAGCAGAAGCTGGCACTAGGGGCCATTACTGTCAAGTCCAACCACAGGGCCACCTGGAGAGAGCACAACCAAGAGTGAGAGGGACATAGGAGGGAAATAGTGGGCCCCCCCCTTGGGTCAACACTCCCATGGGAGGGCACAATAACAACTAGGACAGGGGCTGGGTAGGCTAGACAGAGAGGCACTCAGCAACATCCGTGAGGGCTGGACAGTTGAGCTGGTTGGATGGAACTAAGCTCCAATACCCTTCGACATCTATGAGAGCCCCATGGGATATGGGGTAGACTGAACTAGGCTCCTACACATGCTGGCAAATCATGGCAGGGGCGGGCCTGGTGGGGGTTATTGGGATTGCTCCCACAAGGCTGCAGTTCCCAGTGGTTGGTGTGATGGCCGAGCACGTGACGAGCAGAACCAGGACGGACTATAACACCCATTGATTCCAGTGGAAGTCGAGGCTCAAGATGGAACCAACCTAGCAATTGCAACCACCAGCTGAACAGGGACCAGAGAAGGTCTCCCCAAGAAGCCGTTGAACTTATCTGGACAATAAGATGCTGGACTCTATGCGTGGTATATGCTTGCAATGAAGGAATCTCAACTGAACTTGAACTGTGGCTACACAAGGTGGAGGAATCCACCATGAGGAGAGGGTTAGGGGAGGGGTGGGAGGAATCCCAGTACCTATAAAACTGTCACGTAACACAATGTAATTAATAACAATAAAAAAAAAACAAGCATATGATAAAGTCCTGTTCATTCCTGGCTTTTTTTTTTTTTTTTTTTGAGAGGTTTACAAAAAGAAGAAGAGACGGAGATCATTCATTCCCTGGTTCCTGTCCAAGTAGCTGCAGGGCTAGTTGGGAAAGCCAGGAGCCAAGAGCTTCTTCAGGGTCTCCCAAGTGGACACAGGGACCCAAGACTTTGACCATCTTTTGCTGCTTTCCCAGGCACATTAGCAGGGAGCTGGATCAGAAGTGCAACAGCCAGCACTCAAGAACTGGCACCCCTGTGGCGAGGTGTAGCTATTACTGCTTGTACGGGGACCTATTTGGGGAGGGTAAAAAGGGTTTCTAGAAATCTCTGCTGGGCAACAAATAACAAGATCCCACAAATTCCTGGAGAAGTTAGAAGCTTCCTTGTAAAAGGGAAGATTTCAACCTCTAAAGTGCTTCAAAACTGTCTTAAGAGCTCCCAATTCTCTCTGGACACTTCGGGGTCTCAGTCAAACCCTAGTCAGAAGGAGAACCCCAATTTCGGCACGAATCCGCTCTAGTTGGGAGGGCGCAGGTAGATAATGCCCTGCAGCCCTTATATCCAGCTCCGGGCACCCTTCCTACTTCTTCCTTCTCTGGTCTGCCCCCTCCCAGTACTCTCAGCCTGGGAAACTGATGGGACCGGCTGGACCGGTCCCGCCAGCCGACCCTGCGATCCGAGACTCCGTCCCCAGCCTCCCCGCCCTGAGTGTAGTAAACTCCACCGGCAGGTGCCAGCTCCACCTAGCCCACATGGCCCTACCGCCGCTCCACTCCATTTCCCTCCTAAAGCCCCGCCCCTAGGCCCTCAGCCCGCCCCCCTCTCTATTACGAGCTCTCGCTCGGCGTTCCTGGTGGACCGAGTTTTTCCCGGAGAAACCACGCTTCCCCTGGAGCTCGCCAACGGCTCCGCCTTCCCGCCGGGGCCTGACCCTTCCCAGCGTGCCCGGCGATTCCGGCGTGCGAGGCCCTTGGAGGGCAAGGCTCCAGGGCCTGGCTGAGGGGCACGAGAGGCACGCTGGAAGTTGTAGTTCGAGCGGCCACGAGGGCGGATTGAGGGTGGCGGCGGAAAGGACTCGTCGTCCCGGCGTGCCCTGCGCTTCAGCCCGCGCGCTCGCAGCTTCTCGCTCTCGCCCGCCCGCCTGCTGCCTTGCTTGCTCGCGCTTTCGCTCGCGCTCTCCTCGCGGATCGTGGTGGCTCTGACCACAGCCTGCGGCTGGGAAGGGCGACCGAGGCGGCGGCTCAGGGGAAACGAGGCTGCAGTGGTGGTGGTGGTGATAGGAAGATGTCGGGCGAGGACGAGCAGCAGGAGCAAACTATCGCCGAAGACCTGGTCGTGACCAAGTATAAGATGGGGGGCGACATCGCCAACCGTGAGTGCGGCCTCGGGGGTCCGGAATCAAGTCTGGGAGGGAGAGGTGCCGGGCTGACCCTGGAGGGCCTGGAGCGAGGTGTGGGGGGGATGTTGAGGTGAGCTCCCGAGGGGTCCACCTCGGCGGCGTGGTGGGCAGACCCAGGTCCGCGCCCGTGATCAGCGTGGCCAGGCCCTGGACTGGGAGTCTGGAGGTACGGGCTGGCGACCGGGGAGAGCTCCGAGAGGGGGTCGCCGGGCAGGCTCTGACCCCAGGCCTTTGGTAAGGGAGCACGGCGCGTTTCCTTCCCTCACCCTGCAGTCCGGGTCTCTGCTTCCTCGGTCCTGGCGGCTGCCCCGAGACGGAAGCACCCAGCTGTTGGTGACTGAAGCGCGCTTCTGTTTGGTCGCGGCTGCTCTGGGAGTCAGGAGTCGAGCTGGCACGTGTGGCCGGCTCCCTGCTCCCTGTGCCGCGTTGCCTGCCGCCGGCTTCCCCACCACGTGCTTTGCCGGAGTCTTCCCTCCTCAGCTCGCACCCTGGTGGGGGCCCCATTCTGCGCTGCAGCCAACCCGGGGGACCTTGGGAAGGGACAGCCCTGGATCTCCTGGAGACTGCTTTGCCTTCCAGTCTGTTCAGAACCGCCTCTGCCCTCACCTGTGGCTGTTTGCGGAGCAGGATTTGGGGATTGCCCTGCTACCCCAACCAGGCTGTGGGACTCGTTTCAGGATTGTCACTGGTCATCCTCGTTGGAGCCCGGCTGGGCAGTTGTTTTCCACGCTAAGCAGATGGCTCACTTTCTATTTTCTCTCTTTCCAGTTCACCTTTCCATTTCAACACACGCTTAAAGTTAGAAGCTGCTTGTTTCTGGGCTTGTACATGGTTTTCCTCATAGAGTTGGGAAGAGGGGTTACAGGTGCCGTTGGACCCGAGTTGTTATGGCTTCCAGGGCTGTCTAGAAATGAGATCTCAGAAATCAGGCCTGAAAATCAGCCTGGTTCGTGAGAGGGTGTGAACACGCGCTGCCCACCCCAGTGTGGCCCGGACAGCAAGTGCCTTAACTTGGCGCATCTTAGCAATTGATACTAATGATTGGAGTAAAAATAATTGGTTTTTGTTTGTTTTTTCTGCTTTTGTGATCTCAGATACCGATTCTGAAGTTGGGGTCGCTAATCCCCTTTCAATCTATTGCAAACTGTTAAGCCAGAAGCGCTAAGACGCTTGGGAGGAGTCCCCTGGGTTTATGCATGTGTCTGAGGGAATAAATTTAAATACAGTGAAATTACTAATACTTCATTAAGGATGTCTGGGAAGACAGGAGGGTAACAATTTAACAGTGCATCAGTTTGGAGTCAGCAATTCTGTGTCTGCCTTCAGCTTGTCGCTGAAGCCCATAAACTGGTCATCTGCATCGCGTGCACATTGGGGTGCCGTGGCACGAATTCAGGAGAGTGCCTTCAGACAGTCCGAGGCTTATCCCCGAAGACACTGTGTATACCCAGTTGCCACAGAATGCAAGGGTCACAAAAGAATGTTGACTTTATTGTTGTTATTTTTACAAAAGAAAGGTAGAAACTAGAGGTTTTAGGTAGACATGCTTCAAGAGGCCAAGTTGATGTTCTTTTCAGCCTCTGGGGGCTGGCACTGGAGGTTAGAAACTTGCAGATGAAGGGGAGGTGGTGGCTAGACAGTAAATACGTGGTGGGATTCTGTGCCTAGGAGTCCTGCGGTCCCTGGTGGAAGCCTCCAGCTCAGGTGTGTCTGTGCTGAGCCTGTGTGAGAAAGGGGATGCCATGATAATGGAGGAGACGGGAAAAATCTTCAAGAAAGAAAAGGAAATGAAAAAGGGTAAGAAAAAAAAAGATGCTCTTACTCATGTATCATTTACAAGTTCGACCCTTCTCTAGTCCCAAGTGTTTTGGGTTTTGTTTTGTTCATTTTCATAATGCACCAGTCCTGCCCACTTTGGCCCATTTGGAGATTTTGGTCTTAGATTGGCAAGTTGGCATATAGGCCATTTCCTTCCCAATCCAACGGGATGAAATGTGAGAAACCCCCGCCAGGGGTTTTCTTTTTCCTGAATAGCAGCGCGAGGAGCGCAGGGCAGCGGAGTGACGCTTGTGTCGTTGCAGGTATCGCCTTTCCCACCAGTATTTCCGTGAACAACTGTGTGTGTCACTTCTCGCCTTTGAAGAGTGACCAGGACTACGTTCTGAAGGAAGGAGACCTCGTAAAGATGTAAGGCCGCCCTTCGCAGCACTCCTCCCGGCCAGCGTCTCGCGGGATCCTCGCCTAACGCCGTGCCCCGCTCTTGTCTTTCAGTGACCTGGGGGTCCACGTGGACGGGTTCATTGCCAACGTGGCGCACACTTTCGTAGTTGACGTGGCTCAGGTGGGTGGCCGGCTGTTAACCTCTCTTCAGCCTGGGCCAGGGGAGGGCGGGCACCGCCGTGTACCTCAGGAGAGAGTGTCTACAGAACTCTCCAGAGAAGCATCTTCCCTGACGTTCACCAGCGTGGGCTGAGTGAACAAGCTCTACTCATGGGCTTCCGCTTCCTCTCCTCCAGGGGACCCACGTGACCGGGCGGAAAGCGGACGTCATAAAGGCAGCTCACCTTTGTGCCGAAGCTGCCTTACGCCTGGTCAAACCTGGGAACCAGGTAAGCTGTTCATCCACCTCCAGAAACAGACCAGAGAAGCCTTAGGCATACAGAGCAACTCCGTTTAGAAAGTGACCTTTTAAAATGAGTTCTGTCTCTGGCTAGCGTCATGCGTGGCATGGCAGGTGAAGCTGCCGCTCGCAGTAGCAGCATTGCACAAGGCTGCCAGTTCAGTTTCAGGCAATCCAGGACTCCATATATAATGGCAGCCAGCTCCCTGTTAAGGGTATGGAGATGTGTGGTGCCGCCTTTTCTTTATTCATGAATGGTGTTTATCTTGTTCATTTGAAAGGCACATGGACGTTGTCGACTGGTTAACACCCCAAGTGCCTGCCATAGCTGGGGCTGGGTCAGGCTGAAAGAGGAGCTGTGAGAACTCAGTCGTGGGTGGCAGAGACCCAAGATTCTGAGCCCTCTCTTCCCAGTTGTCCATTAGCAGGAAGCTGGAATAGGCACTTCAAGGAAGTGCAAGTGTTTTGTGCAGCATCCTATTACACCAGAGCTTGTCCCCCTTTTTGCTTTGAGTATGCATCTATTCCCAAGTAGTTTGAGCTAGCTAGCTCACAGCGAAACACATAAACCCAATTTTAAAAGGTTATGAAACAAAAACTGGACAAGGGATAGAAGTGAGGTGACCAGGCAGCTGGGCTGGTGCCCAAGTTCTGTACCGCAAGACAGGACAGGAGGCCTAGGGACCGTGAAGTGCTCACGGATTAGTAAATAGAACTGCACACTTCAGTTATTAGTTGAGACATTTCTGTAACGTTTGAATTTCCAGAAACTTACACAATACTTACAACATTCTCTTTATCTCCTTTTTCCCTGCTCTTCTGTTCCTTTCAATGGGTACTTTTTTTTTTCAAGATTTATTACGTATGTATGTATGCATATATGTACATATGTATTGGAAAGGCAGATATACAGAGAGAAGGAGATACATAAACATCTTCCGCAGTGGCTTGAGCTGAACTGATCCGGAGCCAGGAACCTCTTTCAGGTCTCCCACGCGGGTGCAGGGTCCCAAAGGCTTTGGGCTGTCCTCGACTGCTTTCCCAGACCACAACAGGAAGCTGGATGGGAAGCGGGGCCGCTGGGATTAGAACCGGCACCCATATGGAATCCTGGCGCTTGCGTGGTGAAGACTTTAGTCACTACACTAGCACACAGGACCCTAGATGGATTATTTTTACTTAAACTTCTCAGTTTCCTTGCAAAGATAGACCTAATTCCATGAAGTTTTAAAAAAGCCCTTTGAGGGGCTGTCGCCATGGCAAAACAGGTCAGTCTTCCACTTGGGACACCAGCATTCCATACAGGCATTGATTTGAGTTCCTGCTTCTGACCTAGCTTCCTGCTGATAGCCTGGGAAAGAAATAGCTCCTGTCTGCTGGCTTCAGCCTGGTCCAGCCCCAGCTATGGCAGGCACTTAGGGAGTGAATTTGTGGATGAAAGATGCTTCTATCTCTACCTTTCAAATAAATATATATTTTTTTAATCCCTCTGAATAGTGTCTCAGCCATTGTAAGCCATGTGAATGTGTTATTTTACCTACTTTATTACAATTACTGTATATCTGAACAGTAAGAGTTGTGTGTGTTTTAAGATTTAGTTTTATTTGAAGGGCAGAGTTACAAGGAGAGAGGAAAGATCTTCCATTCTCTGGTTCACTTCCCAAATGGTTACAACAGGCAGAGGCAGGAGTTTGTACCGGGTCTCCCATGTGGGTACAGGACTCAACCATTCGAGTTATGTTCCTATGTTTTCCCAGGGGCATTAGCAAGGAACTGGGTTTGAAGTGGAACATCTGGGACACAAAGCAGTGGCCTAACCCACCCTACAGTTCTGGCCCAGGAGGATAATTGTACTTTCTCAGAGAAATGTAACAATTGAGATAACCTAGCTGACTTGCTCTTCACAGTACCTGCACATCAGTAGCAGTATTAGGTATGATTAGTTTATTCATTGTATTACAGTAGCTTCCATGAGGATCAGATTGTACTGTAAAGAAAGGAAAATAAAGGGTTTGCTGTCCCCTCTCAGCAGATCAGTGCCAGCCATCGAGGAATAAACACTGACAACACGAGCAACAGAGATGTTTGAGATCTGTCTGCTTGGTGCTTGTGTAGCCCTGACCCAAATCACTGAGCCTTTCTGAGCCACCATTTCCTCATCTAGTTTGGAGTGTAGATCCATCTCCATCTTATAATCGCTGCCAGATTAGAACATCTTTGCTGACACACTTTGTAGAATGGTCAGCGAATACCAGGAATCTTTCTTCTTAGAGATGACATGGTTGTGAAACAAAGAACCAGTGCATTCCCCTCATGGGCACTTGATGGGAGGATGTCAGAGCTCTCCGTTCTTACGCTTCCGCCTCACCTAGTAGAAAACTTAATTCATGCCTAATCTTTCCTCTTATCTGGCTCTGTACCTCCAGAACACACAGGTGACGGAGGCCTGGAACAAGGTGGCCCACTCGTTTAACTGCACGCCCATAGAAGGTAAGAGCCAGAGATGCCCAAGTTAGCAGAACAGAATTTTCAGTGCTTGTCAGGATCCCTCCAGCCCCTGGGTTGCCACAGCCAGACACTCCCCTTGTTGGCTGCCCTGTAAGACTGATTAGGTGGATGCACTGGGAGACCTTCGGGGTGTCACAGGCCTGTCCTGTCTACAGGTATGCTGTCACACCAATTAAAGCAACATGTCATCGATGGAGAGAAGACAATTATCCAGAATCCCACAGACCAACAGAAGTAGGTGGCAGCCACTGTCCCTCTTGTGCCCCAGCCTCCCCAGAGCTGCGTGCTAGCATCCCCTTACGTTCCATCCCTCTTAGGAAGGACCACGAGAAAGCCGAATTCGAGGTGCATGAGGTGTACGCTGTGGATGTGCTCGTGAGCTCGGGAGAGGGCAAGGTGAGGCGAGCGCCAGGGTGGCCAGGTTACTGACAACAGCCAGGTGCGCCACGCTGAGCTCGCACTGCATTCCTCTTCGTAGGCCAAGGATGCAGGGCAAAGAACCACCATTTACAAGCGAGATCCATCTAAACAGTACGGCCTGAAAATGAAAACCTCGCGTGCCTTCTTCAGTGAGGTGGAGAGGCGCTTTGATGCCATGCCATTCACTTTAAGGTACTGCACCTCGCAAGTACATGACTTGGAACCAGTCTGACTCACAGACCGTGCAGCCAGGAATCAACACTTGTGCCTCCCCCTTCCCTCCCTCCCTCTCCTCTCCTGCCTAGACTTGTAGCTCATGCTCCTGGGCACCTGCTCTCTCCCTTCCTCTCCCCATGGCCTTCTCATTGAAGGTAATGTAAAAGAGCAATCCTTAGCATGATCTTGGCCTGAGGCTAGGAGCTACTTAAAGACCTGGGCACCGTGGTCAGACCTGCCGAGGGGTTAAGGATGCCTCTGAATTCCATCTTCCCTACCCAGAGCTTTTGAAGATGAAAAGAAGGCTCGCATGGGTGTGGTGGAATGTGCCAAACACGAGCTGCTGCAACCGTTTAATGTTCTCTATGAGAAGGAGGGTGAGTTCTGAGCAGGCTTCGCCTCTGGAGCCCCTGATCACATGGTGTACTTCTCAGGAGTGTCAGAAAAGTGTGCAGGGTGTGAAAGTGTGTCTTCATTTCTCTTACAGGTGAATTCGTCGCCCAGTTTAAATTCACAGTTCTGCTCATGCCCAATGGCCCCATGAGGATAACCAGCGGTCCCTTTGAGCCTGACCTTTACAAGTCTGAGCTGGAGGTGCAGGATGCAGAGCTGAAGGTGAGGGTGACTTGGGCAGTGGTGGCCGAGTGGTGCCCGACCTGAGTTCGAGGGCTCAGTGTCACTGCCCATCATCCCTCCTGTGTTGGTGCTTCCTCTGCTTGCCTCAAGTTACTTTTCCTCCTGTGTTCCAGGCCCTCCTCCAGAGTTCTGCAAGTCGGAAAACCCAGAAAAAGAAGAAAAAGAAGGTGTGTGTTGCCTCTGGCAGGTGCACCTTCAGAGTTCTGCAGACCTGTACCTCACCCTTTTTCAAGCCCTAGCCCAGTGGATCCCAAAGACGATGATGTTGATTCCTCGGATGCCACTCCCAGTTAGGAACTGACAAGTCTTCTCCCTCTCCTTTTCTTGACTGCAGGCCTCCAAGACCGCAGAGAATGCCACCAGTGGGGAAACCTTAGAGGAGAATGAAACTGGGGACTGAGGTGGGTCCATAGCCCCAGCCTGCTGCTCCTGCCTCCCCCTCCCTACTGCACCTGGGCTCTACAGTGCGGTTTGTCTTCTCCACCCAGGACCGCCCGCAGAGCAGGGTCTCCCTGCCCCACCCTAGCCCCCACCCTGCCCCTTCAAACAACCACCGGCTCCGACTGACTGGTCTCAGGGGGGGTCCAGGCTTCCCAGCCGCCGAAGACTACTTTAAATAGGAAAAAGAAATTGGATAATAAAATCAGGAGTCAAAATCCACCGTCTTCAAGCCCCTCTTTCTAGCCTTTTCTACTACTCTCTGGTCAAAGTCTATGGTCCTGCAACAGACAGAACAGGGAGGAGGCTGAATCAGCCACCATCATTATAAACTCAGCTCCAGTTTTTTTTATATCACTCCAATGGCAGCATCTTCCCATCTGTTTGGGGCTTGTCTCTTTATTTTTCCACTTTACCCTACTGTTTTATCTGGGCTCAAAATGAAGAGGAGCTGTGCTTCCAATTTGTATTGACATGATGGCAGCATCCTCGGCAGGCCCCACCCAGTTTCTGGGGCTGCTGCCCGCCATTTCTGGAGATTCTCATCCACTGACTGGATCCTCACCCGTGAATCCATTAGTCACTGGTTCTGCAGGCTTTCCATTTCCACAAGGCTGTACAGAGTAACCCATCTCCACCTTGGCCTTTCCTGTCCACATCACCCCCACACACCTCAGCCGGAAGCACAGCTCTGATTTGTTCCCTGTCTGATAACTCTGACCTCCTTCCCTTGAGACAAAAGCCAGAGGAGTAGACTGGAGAGAGAACGCCTGGCTCTGCGGCTTTGGACTCGGACGACTTGCTGGGGATTGTAGGGAAAGGCAACGCATCACAGTACCTCTGGCATGCTGTCCCGGGGGCTAGGGCTCCCAGGAACTTAGGAGGTTTTTAAACACATTGAAAAGTGACATGGCATTCAAATAAATTTGAATTTGCTCATAATGCCGTGCTCTGCTCTGTATGCTGCTCTCGCCGGGGGAAGGTTTGCAGGAGTGCTCCTTGGACCAGCTGCGGTGCTGATGTCTGCCTTTGGAAGACAAGAGCGAGCTTGGATTGGGGAAACAGCCTGGATTCTGTGAAGAGTTGAGTTATCCATAGGTTGATTGGTGATTTAACTTTGTAAAGTGGAAACCTCTGCTACTGGCCTGGCTTGTTTATTTGAAAGGCAGAGTTACAAAGAGGGAGAGATTGTCCATCCACTGGTTGAATTCTCAACTGGCCACAATGGCCAGAATGGGACCAAGCTGAGGCTGGGAGCCTGGAACTCCAGGTCTCCCACATCAGTGCAAGGGCTCAACTATTTGTCATCTTCCATTGCTTTCCTAGGTTGCAAGCGGGGAACTGGGTCTGAAAAGGAGCAAGAAACATTTCATGTATTCATTTTGATTCTGAAAAACCAGAAGGAATGACCTTAGGTAGTTTCAAGGCCAGGTAATCTGGCTAGGTTATTGAGATCTGGGGGCCTACTGGCATAGGAAGCAGCAAGCTCCCCTGGACACACTACACTGCAATACAACAGGCTTGAGAATATGTGTCCCTTATGGAACATACTGACTAGCTTGGCATATAAATCTGTGCTCATTGATGACTCCATTATACATCTGTCAAACCACACTGGCATGTTGAATGATGTTATTGGTTAGCACGTACTGCTGTGGTGGCAGTGTAGGTCATACAGGAACCTTGGGGCATGGACTTGATGGGAAATTAACCCAAAGCTGTGTTTAAGGAATAGGTTCTTGGGCATAGCACGATGGCTCAGTGGCCAAATCCTCACCTTCCAGGTGCCGGGATCCCATGTGGACATCAGTTTGTGTCCTGGTTGCTCCACTTTCCATCCAGCTCCGTTTGTGGCCTGGGAAAGCAGAAGAGTGTAACCTAGAGCTTGACCCTGCACCCTATGGGAGACCAGAAGAAGCTCCTGTCTCCTGGCTTCATATCAACTCAGCTGTGGCTGTAGTGGCCATTTGGGGAGTGAACCAGTGGATGGAAGATCTGTCCATAAATTGTGACCATCTAGGGAGTGAATCAATGGACAGAAAAATCTCAAATCCTCTCTGATTTGCAAATAAATATATAAGGTAAAATGTCTTTAAACATGGCTTCTTTGGGTCACTGTTGGTGCAGCTGGTTTAAGACACTGCTTGTAATGCCAGCATTCCATATGGGCACCATTTCAAGTTGGCTGGTTCAGTCCCCAAATGGCCACAATGGTTAGGGTTGGGCTAGAGCCAGGCCTAACTCTAGAACTTGGAACTCGCATCTGTGTCTCCTACATGGGTGTCAGGTGTCCAAGCACTTGGCAATCTGCTGTTGCCCCAGGAGCCTTAGCAGGTGGCACTCAGGGCTGAGACTCATGTAAGTATTCACATGGGCTGTTGTCACTGGTGTTCATTTTAACCCACTGTACCATAATGCCATCCTCTCAGATCTTATATACTAGAGAAGTGAATTGAAATTCTGGTAATCTTGATATGATTCTGCAAGGCAATGTGGGTTTTTTGGGGGGAGGGATTGCTTTTGTTTCTAATTTGATCAGGCAGACATTGTTAATCAGTGGATTAAGGTGGAGCCTGGGACAGAGGGTATCCACACCGAGGAGCCTGGGATGAGCTACTCCCAGTCCTGGCAGACAGCAGATAATGGCTCAATCCCCGGCACCCACACGGGGAATCCAGTACTGGCTCTTGCTTCCGGCCAGTCCAGCTCTGACTATTGCTGACATCTGGGGTGTGAACCAGCAGATGGAGGATCTATCCTCTCATCCTTTCAGCTAAGTCTTAAAAATTAGCAGCCACTGGCACAACGGCTCAGTGGCTAAATCCTCACATTGCAAATGCCTGGATCCCATCCTGGCTGCTCCACTGCTTCCATCCAACTCCCTGCTCGTGGCCTGGGAAAGAAGTATAAGATGGCCCAAAGCCTTGAGACCCTGCAGCCACATGAGAGTGCCAGAAGCAGGGGCTCCTGGCTCCTGGCTTCAAGAGCAGCTCAGCTCTGGCCATAGTGGCCACTGAGGAGTGAACCAGCAGACAGAAGACCTTTCCTTCTGTTTCCCCTCTTAAGTCTGTCTCAAAAAAATCTTAAAAAGAAATTTTAATGGCCTTGAAGAAACTCAGAATAATTAATTCTTGAGTTTATTTTCTAAAGGAGTCCATAAACCTATTATAAATGTATTTAAATGAAAAATTTTGGTCATAATCCGATGGTGACAATTTCAGAAGTAAGCATGTGGAACCAGGACTGCTTATATTTTTATGATGGTTTTATAATAGTTAAAGTGAAATGAAACAAGGAGAAAAGTTATTTACAGAGAAATCACAATCGAGGAGAGATTTTGACAAAATCCTCACGTGTTTTAAACAATGAAAGAAACTGCGCTTAGTGGGGTCTTTTTCTGCCTTCAGTGAAGTTTCTTACAGCCAAATCTTCCGAGGACTGTTTTTCTGTTTGTTTTTCTGGTGATTCTTCTCAATCTCAAAAGTTTTGGTAAGTTCTTCACACCAGATACCATGCCGCCCTAGAGGACCTGGCCAATCTTCTCCGTCCGCTGCTTAGATAGGGAGCCAGCTAAGGACGCGTGGTGACCAGGGACCTCTGGTGGCAGAGACCCTGGCGTGGCGGGCTGCTGGATTCAGGGTTTCTGGGGAAAGTGACGGGTTGTTCTTTCTGTGGCACTATAAGCTTCCCCTATTACCACTTCACGTCCTTCCACGGGGGTAGAGCCTGAGGACCTTCGGAGGTGTCAGGATCGAATCTCCCTCCCCGCAGGCTAGTACGAAGAAAATAAGGCAAAGCAGCACTAGAAACGAGTGATTTCTGTATAGTCCGCACCCATCCGGAATAAAATGGAGGACTTCGTCCCCAAACTGCAACTCCCAGAGGCAGTGAGCGGGAAGACGGAAGCCGCGACGCCCTATCTCATCTGCGCCTCTCCGTCCTGCATTGGAACAACGAGGTCTTCACAGCCAAGCGGGGAGTGGCAGGGAATGGGTAACGCGAAATCCAAATACTTTTTGCAAAACACACGCGCGGCCGAGGAACCTGAGCGGTGCCGTCTGAGGCCCCCGGCCATTGTGACTCATCCGGCGGCCCCGCCCCTACGTAACGAAGGGCGGAGCGACGGAAGTGACGACACCAGGCGCCGTCTTAAATAGCCGCAGGCGGAAGCCGGGTTCTCTCTCGGCTTTAGCGCCATCTTCGTGGGTGAGTGTTGGAGTCCGCGGCGTCCCTGGCTCCCGAGCGATCCGTTAACATCGCATCTCCGTGTCCTTCTGTCCTCACAGCCTGCTAACTTTGGTCCTTTTGTCTTTCCCTGTAGACACCTCCGCGCCATGAGAGCCAAGGTGAGAGGTCCGGAGCGTTGAGCTCGGGAGGTAGGAGTGGGAAGAGGTCGAGGGCCGATCCATGCAAGGAGAAGCCTGCGGAGGTTCCGCAGCCGCCTGGGGTTCTCGGGGCGCTGGGCGGGGGTCCCGGGGTGCTGGGACCGGTGGGGCGCTGGGCGGGGGTCCCGGGGACGCAGGCGGCCGGCCTGGCGGTGTGGGTCCGGGTCCGAGGGGCGCGCCCGCGCCTCGCACTAACGTGACGGCTCTTGTTCCTTCGTTTGCTGCTCGCGACGGGCGCGTAGTGGAGGAAGAAGCGGATGCGCAGGTATCGGAGCGCGGGGCGCGCGGGCGGGGGGTTGGCGGGCGCGGGCTCCCAGTGCAGCTGCCTTCTCATGCCCGCTCTGCAGGCTGAAGCGCAAGCGGAGGAAGATGCGACAGAGGTCCAAGTAGAAGGCCGCGGCAGGAGGGAGCCGAACCCAACATCCCGGAGGCTCCGCCCGACCGAGACCCCGGAGACCGCCCCGCCGGCCCGTGACCCGCGGCGCCCCCGCCCCGACCTGCTGTCCCCGCCTGGCCCAGCCTCGCGCGTGTACAATAAAGCCTCCCGGCCGCTGTGTCGGACGGAGAGTCCAACCGCCCCGTGTGTGCTGTCGTTGTTTGGGGAGCGCGTCCGCACGTGCAGGGCGGGGTGGGGGGCGGGTTGTCATGGTGACGCCGCAACGCTCGCCGGGAGCTTCCTGCGTTCCGCCCCGCGCCTATCATAGAGTGGTTCCGGGTCTGGTGGCTAGAGCGTCGCTTCTTCCGCAGGAAGCGGAAGCGCCGTCGGGTGGGCGGCTCTTTGTGGAAGGTAGAGAACCGGCAGGCGGCAGCAGCAACTACGGCGGCGGCGGCAGGTGAGGGAGGCGGAGGCCGCGCCCGGAGGGGAGGAGTCGAGACCGGTGTGGCCGCGCCTGCCCTCGGTCGGGTCCCCTGCGCCCGGCCGGCTCCCGAACGCGACCCCCGGTCCGAACCCCCCCTGTTGCCTCACCCGCCAGGCCAGCAAACGCCAGCTCCGTGACGTCACGGCCTGCCAGCCCCTCAGCCCGTGTCACCCAGGAACGCCCCTGGCCCGCCCCCCGACTCCCCGGTGCTCCCCGGGGTCCCGGCCGCGCGGCCCGCCCACCGCGGGACCTGCTGCCGGCAAACTCCGACGCTGGGACTTGTCCCCAACTCCGAGCGCCGGGGAGCGTCACAGTCCCCGCCCTCCCGCCCCGCACTGTCAGTGGCCGCTGCCTCACGCCGCCGACCCCCGCAGCCCCCGCGGCCCGGCCGGGGCTCCCCTCGCCCTTGGTTCCCTCCCGGGCGGCGGCCGAGTTCCTTCCGTCCCGCCCGCTTCCCGGGGATTGCTCCCCAGACAGGTGCAAAGTTGCGGCTGAGCCCGGAGGAGGTTCCGAGGGTCCCGGGGCTCCTGGCGCGCGGTCGGGCGGCGTCCCCCTGCCGGCCGCGCCGCCACTCCGCCCTCGTTCTCTGCTCCCCTTCGAGTCTCTCTGTTGTTTTCCTGTTCAGAACCCAGCAGTGATGTGGAGGCGGAGACCCGCAGGAGCCCCGGAGTTCACCTGAGTCCCCTCAGGTATTGGTGCGGGCCGGGTCGCGTAGGGAGGAGCACCGGGCGGGGTGAGCCGCTTTTTGGGCGCTACCCGCTGCGGCGACCGGGCTGTTTGGGTCCACGTGTGGGTCTTTCACCTGTCCCTCCTCCCACTGCCTCAAACGTTGGGAGGTAGAGGAGTCGGTTTCGTTCTAGAAAATTTTGGGTACTTCTAGGTGCAAGTTCTGCATCCTTCGTCTCGGGAGCTGGGAAGGCCAAGGCTAGGTGATGAACTAGGGTCAAGGCCGGAAGAACTGGGGGAGCAGTCGGTCCCTCGGGCTCCGAGGGGCAGTGAGGCGAAGTTGTCTGCTGTGGGCAGCAGGGGGCGCCCGGGCCCGCCTCATCAAGGTCTAGGCCGGCAGACACGTGGTGGCCGCGACGTGCGGGGTGGGGTGGAGAGAAGGCAAGGCTAGAACCAGGGCAGTGCGCTGACATTCCAGGACTCCCTTGGGAAACAGGAGACCTTAAAAGCTTTTATGGAGTCTATAAATAAAGAGGCTCTTGGCCGGGCGAGGATTGTTATGGTTTGATGTCAGTGGGATCTATCCCTTAGGGGGAGGGTCAGAAGAGGGCTGGAGACCAGGGAAGGGAAGGGAAGGTGGCTTTAGTCTTGGGAGATGACTTCCTTCTCACCTTGACATTGATGCAGGTCATACTGTTGTAGGGGCTGGGAGTGGAGAGTCCTGCTTAGATCCACTCCCCTGGAGGTGGAGGAGGCCCACCTCCGCAGCGTGGAATGTAGTGGGGGCCAGGAGAGAATGCTGAAGAGTGCAGGGTTAGGAACTGGCTGGGGCCGTTTGTCCCTCACCTGAGTCTGCTGAGGCGCAGGTCTTGCCTGAGATGCCAGGAGCAGGGATTGTTGTCCCGCCCTCCAACCCGCAGCTTAGTGTCCTGATGTGAACACTTCCTGCTCTCCTTCCAGCTTTTCATACACTTTTCCTTTCTAATTAAACGCTTAATCACGCATGTCTACGAGACACAGCATGGCATTTTAATACCTGCATAAATCATATAACAATGGAATACAGAGTGCTGGCAAACCCCGCACCTCTTTTGTCATTTGTTTTTAATGAGAATGTTTACAACCTTGTTTTGAAATAATTGTTCACTATACTTACTCTTCTGTGGTTTAGAAAGTTGGAGATTTTTCATTCTGTCCAGCGGTACTACTTAACCATTCTTTCCTCCTCCAAAACCGATAGCAGTTTTGATTTCACATCCCCAACTTAATAAGGACAGCTCGGACATGAAGCTAAAAATCTAATCCAGTCTCTCCCTGCCCCCTTCCTGGCTCAGCGGCAGCGAGCTGGAGCGGCAGTGGCTTTCCCCTAACACTCTCCGTTAGCCAGGCAAGTGTGAATCACCCTGCCCCAGACCAGGTGCTTGCAGATGTGGGCGGGACTTCCCAACAGTCAGGTGGCTCAGCCAGAACCAATCCTTGATCTCTACAGCCACTGCTGGAGGAGTCTGATACAGTGTTCCTCTGGTGTTTTTGTTTTGTTTGGTTTTTTAAACAGTCCCCAAGGAAAGGAGGAAAGCCCTGAGCTGGGAGAGACCAGGATGCCCGACCGGGACAGCTATGCCAACGGCACGGGGAACAGCGGGGGAGGCCCCGGAGGCAGTGGCGGCGAGGAGGCCAGTGGCACCGGGGCAGGCAGTGGCGGGGTCAGCTCGGATGCCATCTGCAGAGACTTCCTGCGGAACGTGTGCAAGCGGGGCAAGCGCTGCCGCTACCGCCACCCAGACATGAGCGAGGTGTCCAACTTGGGAGTGAGCAAAAACGAATTTATCTTCTGCCACGACTTCCAGAACAAGGAATGCAGTCGCCCGAACTGTCGCTTCATCCATGGCTCTAAAGAGGATGAGGATGGCTATAAGAAGACAGGGGAGCTTCCCCCTCGGCTGAGGCAGAAAGTGGCAGCAGGGCTGGGCCTGTCCCCAGCTGACCTACCCAACGGCAAGGAGGAGGTCCCAATCTGCCGGGACTTTCTTAAGGGGGACTGTCAGAGAGGAGCCAAGTGCAAGTTCCGTCACCTGCAGCGGGATTTTGAGTTTGACAGTCGGAGCGGAGGTGGCTCCTGTGGGGTCGGCTCCGCGGGCTCGGTGCTCCCTGGCCGGCGTCACGAGCTGTACGATATCATCTATGACCTTCCTGACCGAGGCCTAGAGGACCACGAGCCAGGCCCCAAGCGCCGGCGAGGTGGCTGCTGCGGCCCTGAGGGCCATTTTGAATCCTATGAGTACGGCCTGGCCCCGCCTCGCGGGGTGGAGTGCAGACTGCTGGAGGAGGAGAACGCCATGCTCAGGAAGCGGGTCGAGGAGCTCAAGAAGCAGGTTAGCAACCTGCTGGCCACCAATGAGGTACTTCTGGAACAGAACGCCCAGTTCCGCAATCAGGCCAAGGTCATAACCCTCAGCTCCACCGCACCAGCCACAGAGCAGACTCTTGCCCCCACCGTGGGCACTGTTGCCACTTTCAATCATGGCATTGCCCAGACTCACACTACGCTGAGCAGCCAGGCCCTGCAGCCTCGTCCTGTTTCCCAACAAGAACTGGTGGCCCCTGCCGGAGCGCCAGCTGCCCCCCCAGCTAATGCTGCACCACCTGCCGCTCCACCACCTCCACCCCCACACTTGAACCCAGAGATCACACCACTGTCGGCTGCTCTGGCTCAAACAATTGCGCAGGGAATGGCACCCCCGCCTGTCTCCATGGCCCCTGTGGCTGTGTCTGTGGCTCCTGTGGCCCCTGTGGCTGTATCAATGGCCCAGCCACTGGCAGGAATCACAATGAGCCACACCACCACTCCCATGGTGACTTACCCTATCGCTTCCCAGAGCATGCGCATCACGGCCATGCCACACTGACGGGCCTCCTGGACCCTCCCCCGGTGTAGCTGCCTGGGGCTGGGGGTCGAGGGTTGCTAACCCACTCACCTGGCCCTCCCAGGCCCTATGTGCAGGGCTCAAGGACTAGGACGAGACTAGGAGGAGGATGCTCTGCAGAGCATTTTTGGAGGTGAGGTTGGGCTGGTGTGTTCTCTCACCTCCCATAGGAGGGTCTTCTTGTCCATCTTCCAGCCTTACGTGGGGCTTCTGTAGGAGGACAGACCAAGCCAGCAGAGGAAGGAAGGACTGAGGCACTAGGTTCTATGGGGAGTCAGGGCAGTCCCTGGCTCGTCCTCTCTTCTGCACAGCACAGGTTTCGGCACTGGTTTTGGGAGAAGCAAATGCCCTGCCCAGAGGGAGAGCCAGGAGAGAGCTAGAGGTGGGTGGCCACAGGAGAAGGCCTGGTCTTCAGACAGTCGGGGACCCAGTGGGTTGGACAATACAGTGTTTGCTCTTGGGCCCCTGGGAGGGCCAGGGCCACAGTACTCCAGCCCGAAGAGTTGGGGGAGTGTTTGGTACCCTAGCTGGGCCAGGGGATCCACAGGGCAGGGCCCAGTACTTTCCAAAGAAATAAAAGAACAATTATTTTTAACTAACACAGGCAGTGGAAATGTGCTTAGATACTGTGTGTGAAAGCTGGGAGCAGTGAGCAGATCCTATGCCAAAATGGAATGAAGACAACACTCGCACATAGCCTGGGCAAGCTGTGAAGAAGGGTGGGGACCCTGAGCTCAACCAGCCCAGGCCTTGGGGCAGGCACCTTGCGGGGTGAAAGCATTGGAGCCACCTAGTCTAGTTTAAAAATAGTGCCATCTGTTGCTGGTCTCTGTCTGCATGCACTATTCCAGGATTGCCTTAGTAACCAGGGCTCCTCGGGTCAGGGGGGATATGTGGTGAGAAGTGGAGACAGGATAGGACACACCTGACAGAGCCTTATCTTGCTCAGAGCAGGCAGGGCAAGGAGCCATTTGAGTCCCTTGTGTTTCCTTTCCTCTGGCCAATGCCTTACACCTTCAAGGCCTGGCAGGTGCCAGGCCTAGGGAGTTCTCCCAGGGACACAATGCCCGGGGTTTGTCTTTCCCTTTGTCTGCATAGGACCTGAGGTTTTAAAACCACTTCAGCGGCACCAAGGCCAAGAGCCCCAGCAGCCTAACATGTCCTCAGCTCACAGCTGACACAGGAAACCACTCAGGTGTCATGTGTAATGGGGCAGTAGATCGGAAGGGCGGGTAGAACTTTCCCCACCCCCATAGGCTCTCCCTGCTACCTCTTGCTCTCTTGTCTGGTGGAAGATGGTGGGCTACATCATGGCTGGTCACTTAGAACAGAAGACGAACGTGGGAAAATACTGTGCATGGGTTTGTAGACACTTCACACTGATGTTGATTTTCTGGCACAGTTCTGGATGATTAAAAGATGGTTTATGAGCATTCAGGGAAGAGTGTGGTCATAGATCCCAACATGGGCTTTCAGCAAAGTCTTCAGTTATTTCATTTGCTTCTTGCCAAGTGTCTTCAGGGTTAAATTTGGGAAAATGGAAGCGTGTGTCATAGTGCACCCCAACTGAAGCCACGCAGGAATACACACCTCATGGTGCCAGCAGAGTGCTGTGTGCACCCCAGGAGAGAGGGGTGCCCCTGGGAGATCAGGCGTGTCTTCCAGGGTCCCAGAAGGGCATGGAGGGCCTGGGCTTGGGCCAGGTGAGCTTTGGGAAGATACTCCTCTGTCCTGGATGCTGTCTAGGGAAGCAGGTGTGCCACTCCAGCACTCAGAGCTGCTTGCCTGTCACCGCTCAAGTCATTGCAGATACAGACAAAATATGAGTCTGTTTGATAGTAGCACTTGGTGAAGTCAAACTGAGCATTTGAGGGGAGAAAACTGACATTTGTACCTAGCAAATGTTGATGGGTGCAGTCATGTCAGAAGTCTAATGATATGTTATAATGGCTGTGTTTTAATTATTTTAAACTTGGATAAAAATATTGAAAGCCCATTCTACAGGAACACAAGGACGTACTAAACACTGTTCAGAGTGTCTAATTGAATGAACTAAAACCCCACATCTACCTGACTAAAACATTGCTGAGGGATGAAGCCTTGAGCTGCTCTGAGCGACTGTGCAAGGGCTCCCCGTTTGCAGTGGTCCCTGCGGGGGCAGCCAGAGCTTTGGCCTGTCTGGGTGGACACATTTGGAGGCTGCTGGGCTCCAGGCACCTTCCTGGGGTTCCACCAGGGGGCTGGGCCCTCATGTACTTACTTGTATAGCAGTCCTGAGGGGGACCGCTCCAAAATTATTGCATGTTCAGTGGAACATAACTTTTTATCAGTTTATTTTTAGTATGTTTTTTACTTAAACTGAGGACTCAAAACTGAGATCTCCCATCTGCTGGTTCCCATTGCCCACGGCAGCTGGGCAGGGCCAGGCTACAGCCAGGAGCCCTGAACTGAATCCAGGTCTCCCATGTGGGTGGCAGGGACCCAGGTAAGCCACCGCCTACTGCCCCCCAGGCTGTGCATTAACAAAAACCTGGGACGTGAAGTGTAACTGGGATTCCAATCCAAGTACTACCGAAGGCTCAGCCTTTAAATGTAGCTATTAAGGAACCACTGACGGGCCTGGCACGGTGGCCTGGCAGAAGTCCACACCTTGAACGCAGCAGGATCCCATGTTGACCCAGTTCTCATCCCAGCTTCTGCACTTCCCATCCAGCTCCCTGAAGAACCACTGACAAATCAATAGGATGGCTGGCTAGAGAAGGCAGGAGACAAACCCAGTAAATGTCTTTAAAATATTTAAATTGCTGGCCAAGAGAGTAAGGTCCTATGTTGCACAGGAAGTGAGCAAGGAGTTCTAGAATAACAGCTAACATTTCTTGGGTGTGTGAAGTGAGCTTGAATAAGCACTGCAGTATAACAGGCAAAACCACCACCTGTAGGCCTCCCACATAGGCACCAGTTCAAGTCCCACAAGCTCCAGTTCTGATCCAGCTCCCTGCTTGCAGGTCTGGGAAAGCAGCAGAGGATGGCCCAACATCCTTGGGACCCTGTACTCCTGGCTTCCAGTGGGCTCAGCTCTGACTTTTGGGGCCATTTGGGGAGTAAACCTGTAGAAGAAAGACCTCTGGTTTTGTAGCTGTCTTTGAGACCAAAAAATAATAGCCTGCAAAGTGTGTTGCAACCAGGAGAGAATGGGGCCAGGCTGATGGCAGACTTGATACAAAATAGTCAACATTGGGGGCACTACTTGTTACTAACTTGGGATGAGTAATACAGAGCCCTCAGCCCAGGCTGCCTCATGGCACCACATCCCTGAGGAGGGAATTAGAGTTTACCTATAAATGCACATTGCAAGTCCGGAAGTCCAGCTCCTCTCCTTGCCCGTGGGCCCCACCCTGTGAGGCCCCACCTCCTCTAACGGCCAGGCTTCCCGCGTCCACTTAACTGCTTACCACCAGCAGGTGGCATCAGGCAGCGGTACTGTCAATGGGAAGGATCCGCCCCACCCTGCAGTTTCCTCCTCACTGCATTGCAGCTGCTGGCACCTGCAGCTGACCCAGGCTGAAATAAAGCCCCCTGAGGGTGAGGCGCCAGGATGCAGCTGGTGCTGCAAGGGGTGAAGAAGGGAGGCTGAGAGAGGGGCCTCCTTGGATCGCATCCTCTCCGCATCTGTGGAACTGGGGCATCTCTGGCTGCAGGACTTGGTGAATTTTAAGTTTCTGGAGGTGTCCTCCTTCCTCCTTAGGGAACAGATCACTGGGATCTCCTCCAAGCTCCTTGTCACCTTGGGGTTGTGCAGAGTGTAGGTGGACGATGGAGAATACAGTTCTGGAAGCTGAATGAAGCACTTGATCCTGCCAGCCCCAGAGGAGTAGAGCAAGTGGAGCTTAATTGAAGGCGGCTGGGTCAGCAAGAGGCTTTAAGCAGTTTTGATGAAACACAGCCAGATGAAATCTACGTCCTGCAGAGGCAGACAAAATACATCAGCTGGCCATCCCAGCCTCTCCCCAATGATAGCCCCAGCGCCCCTGCTGCGCAGTAAGGCACATGCAGGTCCCCACTTTATGAGCTCCTCGTTTGTGACCACCCTGCCCCTCCGCAGCTTGCACTGTCTGGTGGCCAGGGCCCTGGCAATATGCCTGTTCTAAGGGCCGTTAACTAGTAACAGCAGTTATAATCAACAAACCTTGCCCTTCTCCCTCCAATATAAAAACTTCTACTTCCCCTGTTGCCTTATCCCACACCTGTGTTCTAACCCTTGCTTCTAGAACAAGAACCCGAATGACCTCGTGAGTCTTGATTTCTCACTTTGGTGAAGGAAATTCTTGGCAGATGTGCCAATACCTGCTGCAACTGAGCCCTCGCTCCGATGGAGCTATATTTAGGTGCAGGCCATCCTCCTGGATAGAAATGGTTGGCTCTTTGGGAAGATTTCCAGAAAGAGAAAATCTCACTTCCTAGTCAGTCTTTGGATTTATTTTCCTTTTCATCCCTCAAGTCTATCATCTCTTACCCTCTGATTTGCCAGTTTTCACCAAGACAAGGTCGGTCCCCCAACACCTTAACTTCCCTTTCCTGCTGTAAGGGGAGTCAAGAGAAACCCCAGCAAGATCAAGGCTGTGCCCTGAGCGCGCACCAGGGAAGGAAGCCAGAGCCTGCCAAGCCACCCGCACGAGTGGGAGGAAAATCCCGGTATTCCACAGCCCCGCCACTTCACAAATCCAGCTGGCTTCGCATGACGTCATTCCACGGACCCCCGGCTCGACAGCCGCACTTGGTGGGGGGGCACTTGGGCCCGCCTCTCTTTAAATGGCACGCCACGCCTCTTCTTCGGAGTGACCAATCAAATGCTGCCCTTTAGCCCCTCTCCTCCTTTTCCCGCCATCTCGGGCCTGCCGTCCCGACCGGTTCGTCCAATCAGGAGGTCCCGCCAACCCCCGCAGGACAAGGGTGGCGTTCCGCCCTTTAACTCCACCTCGGTCTCTGCGGCGCAGACCAACCCACGCCGCCGGGGCCGAGGCGTGGCCTGCGCTCCCCTCCCCGCGGCCCGGGGCTCGCGGGCTGCCGGGGGAGCGGGCGGCAAGCTGGTCAGGCTGCAGCTGGTGTCGGGGGCGGCGGGTCCTCCCCGAAGTGGCACCCATGGAGCGCCCTGCTGGAGAGGGCCCGGGCCCCAAGGAGCAGCCCCCGGCTCCCTCCGGCGCCCCGGAGCAGCCCCCCGCTGCCCACCCGAAGCCGGGGCCTGGGAGCCCACCTGCCGGCCCTGGCGCGGCGACTGAGGTTCTGGCCGTGCTGACCGCGTTCGGGCGGCGCCTGCTGGTGCTGGTGCCCGTGTACCTGGCCGGGGCGGCGGGGCTCAGCGTGGGCTTCGTGCTCTTCGGCCTCGCCCTCTACCTGGGCTGGCGCCGGGTGCGCGACGAGAAGGAACGGAGCCTGCGGGCGGCGCGGCAGCTGCTGGACGACGAGGAGCGGCTCACGGCACAAACGCTGTACCTGAGCCACCGGGAGCTGCCGGCCTGGGTGAGCGCCCGCCGCGGCCCCTGCTGCGGGACCCCTCGCCCCCTCTGCCTTCCGGGCCGCCGCCCTCCCGGGCGCCCCAGTC